GATGTTAGACCGGCGATCCTACGCCATAGACCATTCGGCCACACAACCAGCCACACTTGCAAACAATAACATTGTGAAAATTGAATCTCAAACAAAAATATCAGCCCCTAAATGGGTCAGGGAGCCACGGTGGCTTAGTGAATAAGACGCTGGCTCTCTATCCTGGAGGTTACGGGTTCGTACAAGATCCCTTGACGGTTGGAATTCGATATAAGAGTAGACCGTAGCTGTAGCGTCTCTGTCCGGGCAAAATTTCCCTCATACTCATAGCACACTGTATGGCGTATGCCCGTCTTCTTTAGACGTTAAACCCCATTTCATTTCATTTCTCCTAAATAATTCAATTCCGTTCATTATTTACAAAGATTTGATGAATTGAAGATTTCGTTACATTCTCCAGATATAAACAAACCAGTGCCACGTATATTTGTTTCGTAAAATACTTTGTTGGATCTCTGTTTAATCCGATTTAATCCAAGTCGAGAGATTATCTAACGGTGATACTTTGATTTTATTTTCTTAATCAAATGTAAAATAATCAATACGAGGACATTTTAGTTTGGATTAAGCCGTAAAAATGAGATTTTGCCCGAAAATGCAAATGGCGAAGGTTAAATTAGTTATCTTGGACGCAAAGAGTAAAAATTCCAATATTATTCCTTGCTCATCCGAAAAATGCACGACCGGAATCGAAGTGAATGCCCTTGTCAACTGATGACGAGGCGAGGTCGGGGAAAGCTATATTATTTATTTTCGAGGTTTGACCCATAGTCTAGAATACGTTGCCCGAAAGTAGAAGACTTTGCAAAATGTAAATTGTGATAGAAGGGAGGTAACTCTTTTAAAACGTTTATCGATGAAATTACCATATTAATATGTAAAGAATATGTAAATATGGTTTGCAGTATTATTACGTATTATATGGTAGTTTGCGTTAAAATCTGTTAATTATTAATCGGTATCCATACATAATAATACATTAATACGTAGAATTTCTTTGAGTCAGGATTGTTACTAAATTTTCCTATAATCGTTTAAGGGGAAGCAACTCCATTTAGTAGCTATCGAATCGAACAACCAATGCCATGCCCGGCCTTGCTATCAGTAAAGAACCGAGCCGTCCGTAACTATCGCTGGGAAACAAATCATAGCTAGTTGAAACCCAGTAGGTCTATGCAATAATTAAATGATAAAAATTCTGAACTGATAGTGAAAATGTAAACACAGTTGGTCTGTCAGAAAATGCAAATTCAACCCTTTATAGAACAAAAACAACCATCATGGACATGCAAAAGAGCTTAAATTTAATGATTATCGTTTCGTAGATCATGAAAGTCAGGAATAATTAATCAGTGATCCGAATTCTTCTGTGGACTTGATAAAATAAATTAATATGAAAGTAGAAAGTACAACAAAATTTATTAGCTTGTGATCACCTATTTGTTATGTGTTTATTATGTACTTACATAATATAAATAAAAATTATATTTACAAAAAAATACAACACAGAATATAATATAATATTGCTATAACTTAAAACAAGAGTGAGAGAGAAATGAGTTTTAATCACACCATCTTCAATATCAAGGCCTTCATGTAATAATCTACATGTTTCGTCACTAATTCCGATTGGTCATTGACCCAGCTCCCGATCCAAAAGTTTGGGAATTTTGGACTAATCTATTTCTAGTTGCTTCAAGAACATGAATCTCTGCATGATTAAAATATAGCAAATTTTTATTTCAATAATTTGTGCAAGGAAAATCGGAAAATTGGCAGAGAATCCACAAGATTAGGCAATCTTACTCCTTGTCATATATGACTTGCATAGCTAAAAGGACTAATAATCAAAATTACCTAGCAAGCCAATCTAAAACAGCAATATGTCAGTCTTAACTAAACAAATACAAAAAACATATATAGATTACTTAAAACATACATTATGCAAGAGCTAAATCTGCTTATTAACATGACAAGACCATAATCAACTCTCGATGCAATCTTATGGGTACGATTTTAAACAGATTTGAATCCGATTAGCCGTTCAACGTCTGTCCATGATTAACCGTAAAAATGGATAATCGAGACTTTGTTTATTATCATAACAACGGTAACAATGACAATCGAGGCTAGATTATAATTGTAACATTGATAGCTAGTAATAGTGAAGTAATTTGACTGAAATTTTCAGTAAATTGCCTTTACATTATCTAGTTTTTAACTATTATAGTGAGAACTGTCAACTCTTTATCTAATTTTCCTCTTTAAAGTAACGATGCACCATTTGCATTTTTCATTACAATATCAAATTTCTCACGGCTCAATGGATGCTCATATGTACTCAGATTGATCATTTAACGTTTAATTAAAAATACAAAATATCACGGCTAAATAATCTTCAGGCTTGAATTCAATATGATTTATACTGAAATGTTTTCACATTTCTATGGAATACAATTACGTATACACATTGAAAAATAAATATGATTTCTTGTACAAATTAATCAACTGTGGTTTTGTTTCACATGATCAACATTTTTCGCGTTTTTATTCAATTCTGTTGTCGTGATATTATCATCGATTTGTTCACTAGTATTTCTGCTTAAAGCATCGTCTTTTAAAAGTTCAATAAGTTCTTCTCCAGAAACAGCTTGTCGCTCTGGATGCAACAAACGGTCAAAATATGAGACTGCAGACGGATCATCAAAGTCTGTAGTCGGCCAATGGAATTCATTGTTATTTTTATTTTTATCAGAAATAAATCTGTTCATATGGTCGTCTTTTACTTTTCCCAAGGAGGATATAATCTCTTTTGCTGATGGTTCCTTGCTGGTTTTTCCTTTCATTTTTGACAATTTTGATTCTGTAATAAAAGATGAAAGTATTATAAAATTTCTTGTCGAGTCTGTTGTGCATAAAAAGTTAATATCACTGGTCTGGCTTATTCACTTCTAAGTTCTATTTCATCCAAGCCGACAATCGGTTACACAGATTTTTGTACTATAGTTCAACCTGTGGTCGTGACCAGCCATACCATACGATAGACTTACGGGATAGAGGATGGTCGGGATAGTTCAGACTGTAGTCGCAACGATAGTCTACATCCGAAGGTCGTCCAGGCTGCTAGTGATTGTAGCGGCCAAGCTATTTCCTTTAGCCTTAACATAAACAGGGGTATATTCATTCCTACAGACATGATATATTATATAACTTGTCAATTATCAATTCAATGACCAAAAACTGATGGTCTGAACCCTGACATTCTTCAAATGAATAGCCTCCCGTTTCGTATGACTGATTCATGAATAAACTTACCGAGCGAATTTAAATAGCGTTCAGAACTGATAAATTGATAAGCAGGGTCTGAAGTCGGGGGCGTGATGACCCCGACTGCTGCAGCAGTATTCCAGGGATCATTTGTAGCCATCCTAGGCTTGGACTCGAAAAGATCCTCCCCATTTTTTAACTTCACCATTTCGTCGGCCATAACTGTAGTCGCGATTTTCTAGTACCTTTCAATATCGCTTTTGGATACACAAGACTACAAATATTGTATGGTGAGTTTCTTCGGACATTTCAAAACTAAAATGTTTTCAAATGTATGGAAACAAAGTCGGACAACTATTTGGATATTCTATTATAGTTATTTCTATTTAAGAAAATCCCCCTACCTTCATGATTAAAGGGCCCCCTAATCCCCACCTTCATGACAAGAGGAAGATTAAAAGTATGTTTTAAACGCGATTGAGTAAAGCTGGGTATGATGACAGATGATTAAGACTACAATGTGTGTAAGAAGGCTAACAACAGTGTCTAAAATATTATATGACCCTACTCCTTGTCACGTTCAAGTATGGGATCAAAACCACACCACTTGACTCAATGACAGAGAGAGAGAGAATTGGGGTTTAATGTCCACTTGTCACAACTTCATTTCAATAATTTGCTAGCGCATAGGGGTCTTTAGCAGTGGGAGGAAACCGGAGGACCCGGAGAAAACCCACGAGGTTGGACAGATAATGCTACTCCTTGTCTTGTACAAGTGGCGAATTGAAACCACGCCACTTGACTCAATGACAGACCTTATGATCAAACATACACACGTTAAACCATTCGGCTACCCAACCCCCGCTCAGTGTGACAGACTTTATGATCTAAGGCACATGCTGTAGATCATTTGGACACCCAACCACATGCATGAAGGGATAAGTTTTCTAGCATAATGCTCCAGGATAAAAGACATTTAGAGATGGGGGTTTAAATTCCAGGTTATTTTGGGACGAACATATGTTACAATTCTATTTCAGTAATTCACTTGTTTGTAGGGGTCTTCAGCTGTGGGAGGGAACAGAAGGACCCAGAGAAAACCCATGAGGTTCAAAACCACATCTCTTGACCTAGGGATTTTTAGCAATGGAAGGAAACCAAAGATTCCTAAGCAAACCCACGAGGTTAGGCAGGCAATCCCACTCCTTGTCATGTACAAGTTCGGGATTGAAACCACCCAAGCCCCAGAATAAAGGGAGATAAGTAATGAAATGAAATGGGGTTTTACGTCCTACTGTTCTTCTCCGAACTGGGCTAATGAAGACGGGCATATGCCATACAGTGTGCTATGAGGGAAATTTTGTCAGGACAGCGGCACTATGGACTACTCTTATATCTTTATATCTGGAGAGTATGCCGAATGTTGCGAAATCTTCAATTCATCAAATCTTTGTAAATAATGAAGGAATTGAATCATTTAGGAGAATAGAAATTGAACGGGGTTTAACGTCCTACTGCTCCGAACTGTGCTAATAAACACGAGCTTACTCCATACAGTGTGCTATGAGAGAAATTTTGCCCAGACAGCGGCACTATCGAATTCCAACTGTCAAGGGATCTTTTACATGCACACCAATGTGTACACTGGACCTCAGTTTTCGTCCCATCCGAACAACTAGACAGCTGTCCTTGTCAGGCCCTCTTTCCAGGGAAATAAGTAAAGCAAGAGTTAATGATAATATCATCGGTTTTATTTATTCACATTAAAGCTGACATGAATTAACATTTTAAGCCCTCATTGTATAATATATAACCTCAGTTTAAATTAAAATATACAATAAACTGTCTACTCGTACTGTTATCACCTGATAATAAAATACATCCCTCTCTACAAGAATTTACTTTGGCATAGAAAAGTGATGCCTAAATATTAAGGTCACCTGCAAATTTCATCAAGGTCATGAGATGTAAACGGGGCTAGCGCTAACCCTAACTCTAGCCCACAATCTCGTCAACAATCACATGTCCTTGCCCTATGGGGGGGTTGAATGGCCGAATGGTTAGCACGTGTGCTCTGTATCATAACGTCTGTCATTGAGTCAACTGATATGGTTTTGATTGCCCGGTTGTACGTGACAAGGAGTAGAGTCGCCTGTCCAGCCTCGTGGGTTTTCTCCGGGTCCTCCGGTTTCCTCCCACTGCTAAAGACACCTATGCACAAGTGAATTTTTGAAATAAAATTGAACCATGTGTTAGAGTCTCTCTCTCTCTCTCTCTCTCTCTCTCTCTCTCTCATATTTTGTGAACTAGATGGAATCTGCAGGTGGCATTAATATTTAGACCTAACCGGATTTAACGTCTTACTTATCTGCTCCGACCGCAATCTGATTAAAATACAGATCTATACTTCGTTTCGTTTTTTTTACTTTCGATAGCCTACACTACATGAAGATCTGACAAGTTATAGCGATAGGTCACGTCAGGGGTCAAAAGACCGACTTATGACCCTATGACATCAGACATTTGATTAACCAATCAGCATTGATGTTACTAGTGGATTACCCACAGTTCCGTGCAAAACACGCCTAAAGCTCATCGTAACAGACCGTTTCATTGGCTTATCCCTGACACCATTCAGAACACGAGTTAAATAACAACTCTTCCCGATCCAAGTGTAGTAGAGACAAGTAAAACGAAATTTTGAACTATAAAAACGAAACGAAATATGATCTGTGTTTTAATCTGATTGCTCCAACAGGGGAGATAATGAAGACGAGCATACGCCATATATTGTGTAATGTGGGAAATTTTGCCTGTATAGCAATCGATTTTCATCTGTCAAGGGTTCTTTTACGTACACATCAAATACAATGACCTTGTATTTTCCGTCCCATCCGAACGACTGAACACTTTTCCTTGCCAGGCCCCCTGCCCTGCACCATTACAGAAAGCAGAAATGAAATGAAATGAAATGGGGTTTAAAGTCCTACTGTTCTGCTCCTAACCTGGGCTAATGAAGACGGGCATACGCCATACAGTGTGCTATGAGGGAAATTTTGCCAGGGCAGCGGCGCTACGGCCAAGAAAGCAGAAAAGTAGGACAATTGATAATATACAATTTTGAAAATAAATAAATACACAGTAACGCTTAGGTAAGTAAAAATAGCAATTCCACAAGATAAACTCATTCAAATATACATATCAATCTCTCATAATGTAAAAAAATTCAACAAAAATAATGGTGACCAATATAGTACAACCCTCAACGGTTTACTCTATACCCATATCAACAAGTACAAATAATTAAAATTGATGGAGTTTCCATGGTTGCAAAAGTTTTAGAGAGTCATAGAGTTTCCATGGTTACAATAGTTCGGAGAGTTATGCATACTTGAGTTTCCATGGGTTCAATGGTTTTGGAGAGTCATATATCTTGGAGTTTCCATGGTTACAGTAGTTTGGAGAGTTATGTATACTGGAGTTTCCATAGGTACAATGGTTTTGGAGAGTCATATATCTTGGAGTTTCCATGGTTACAGTATAAATTAAGACAGTTCATTAACTTTGTGCAAAATTTTGTTATTTGCCATTTAAATTGTGAGATTTTAAACACAGATTTGATGAAATATATATCTTATGTGTTAAGAGTAAAGCGGTGGACACACTAGCCGAATGATTCGGCCGAATCAATCGGCATCGAAATTTGCCTAGTGTGTCCACTGTTATTCGGCCGAATGATTCGGCCGAATCAAACAGGTTTGATATATTCGGCCGAATTATATTCGCCTTGTGTGTCCGCTTCGCCGAAGCATTCGGCCGAATGTAGAATTCATTAGCCAATCACCACTCATATCGAGAAGTCATGTGATAGTTTGAAGACATAGACGCTGTCATGTTTAATCATGTGACGTGAAAGGTGATGCAATCGACTGGTGAATCGGGCGAAGCATTCGGCTAGTGTGTCCACCCATTCGGCCGAATAAAATTTGGCGCCCATTGATTCGGCTAATGTGTCCACTGCTTAATAAGCTATGTATCATGGCATTCAAATTATTGGAGTTATTCAGTGTGTAGGAGTAATTCAATTTGTGGGAGTAATTCAATTTGTGTGTGTATGTATGTATATATTTTAAATATGAAATACTAATAATATATCTATATAATAAAACTTTACATACTTTAAAGTATTTATATGGTACATGGGAATATTGACTACTCCCTAGATCCCTGTGCAAATTCTTCAGATACACACTTTGTAGTCTCTGACTAGGAAAAATTTAATAAGTTGATATTTGTTTATTTGGTGCAATGTCTATTTTCTATCTGGTCCGCAGGTTTATCTTGTAGATTTTTGTTTTACATGTAGTGCGGTCCTCCTGCACTTACTATTAGAAAACAATTTCTTTAGTAGCATAATAGAAATAGAGAATATGATCACTTATAAATTAGACCTCACATATGGGTCCTATATACATAATATTTCATATAGGTTACAATAATGCCTGGTATATATCTATGTATTATTAAATATACAGGGTTGGTTAAAAAATTGCAAGGATATATCTGCATATATTTTTGCATATTAGAAATATAAATAAATATTTATTAAACAATGTAGCCCTCATGTAAATAGAACAGATAACCCATGATTTGATAAAATCATGCCAGATAACGACTAGCTAGTGTTTACTGTTCATCATTTGACTTTATTAGATATCTGATACGATATAAAACAAATATCATCTTTGTGTTTTTATCAAATAAAGTCTAATTTTTCACATACAATCTGGGTTTATGGAAAAATATTGTCATATAGTAATTCTATCTCCTCATATCCTCCATAAGATACATTATGTGCCAATGCCACCTCACAGAAGAGTTTCCTCCCCTTTATTAGTTATTGAAGTCCTTTGGAGTTATCTCCCATTACATAATCTATGACTTAGAGACTAGAGAGTTTTGGGGTAAAATATAGAATGGTAAAAGGTAACTTGGACCCAAGATGAGTCCAACATGGCCACATTTCTTCTTCTAAAAAAAAAAAAAAGGTTAGGGTTAGGGTTGGTATTCCCCAAGGAGACTCATTAATATCTATGCTGAGGCCATGTTGGACTCAATTTGCTTGAGACCATTAAACAACTTAAAATACAGACACTATCCCATATGTACATTTCATTGAAATCGTCATGAGAGTCCAATATTTCATCTAGTATAAATAATGTACTACTGTTATTTGAAAGAATGGTACATCAACATCAAATAATGACGTCACATCTGTTTTTGAAGTGTACAGAAGTCTTAAGTGTGCTTTGTGAAACAGAACCTTGATCGCCATGTCAACAACATTGTCTTTCTGGACGTGACGATTCACTACGCAGACTCTGTCATCTCTATTTAGGTACATATAATTAAAAGGGGTGTCTCTGGTTGGTCAGCATTAACCAAGTATGTTGTGCACATGTATGTATATATTGTCTTGTTATAGATCATATTTTATCATAGCTTGATAATGACTAGAGAAACCTAGTCAAAACATCGCTCAGTAATAAGCAGTAATTGTATTCTATAGAATTGTCACCTGTATATTTCAGTTCAACTATTTCTGTATTAATATCTTGAAACACCTTGATCACAACTATATCTAAATGAAAGAATGGGTGTTTAAATAAACATAATAAAGCCATCGGGGTAGGTGTGTCTAGCTAAGAAACAATGAGTCAATTACAATCCATGTTTTCAGTTTAATATGACAATCTGACTGTTAGCAACTGACAATCTGACTGTTAGCAACACATCTATTTCAGGGGAGGTCACTCTCGAGATCAATATCACAACACACCATATATATGAATCATTTTATCATGACTCTTCTATATCTTCTTCCGTAACCATGGTAACATCTAAATCTACACCAAATTCTGCTTCCCATGGACCTCGTACGGCATCAATAAATAATTCTGTACCATGTTTGGTTTCCATGGTAATATTCCAGACAGTATCACCACCAGATTCTTCATCTAATAATGTCAGTCGAAGTTTGGTCTCCGATTCCTCAAACTTCTCCTGGAAAGCAAAATCGAATAGACAATGGTATATATTTTATGTTTTAGTATATTTCTTTTCCCTGTTGGAAACGAAATAAAATGAAATGGGGTTTAACGTCCTACTGTTCTGCTCCTAAACTGGGCTAATGAAGACGGGACCCTGTTGGAAAGTTTTTGTTATTTATTTTGCCGGGTATTTGTTATTATTCAATGATTAGTTCATGTAATTTATGAGGCAAATAAATGATTATTTCAATTCAAACAAATGCTTTTTATATGTGCAAAACATAGCCATTCCAGAGCATGGGGGATACAAAATAAAATGAAATGAAATGTGTCCTACTCTTCTGCTCCGATTGGGCTAATGAAAACAGGCGTACGCCATTCAGTGTGCTATGAGGCAAATTTTCCCAGACAGCAGTGCTACGGATAACGCTTATATCGAATTCCAGCTGCCAAGGGATATTTTAGGTGCATGCCAATATGTACACAGGATATCATTTTTTTGTCCCATCCAAACGACTGTCCTTGTCAGATAATAATTGAGTTTAAAACCAGAACTTACCACAGTAACAATATTGGTTATTTTATGTTTTTCTAAAACTGTAAAATGTTTGGCGGTATTTTCGATATCTAGAGGAACCTGTAGTCGTGGTTGGGGCCATTGATGATTTTCTTTAACAAGCATTAGTTCTTCATCAGTAATAACGAAACTGACTGGATATTTGGGGTTCATACCTGAAAAAAAATAAAATCGTACGATCTTAATAAATAAAAAGAGAGAGAGAGAGAGAGAGAGAGAAATGGAGTTTAACGTCCACTCGACACAAACTAGGTCATTTCGGGACTAACATATGGTTAATTTTATTTACATAATTCGCTTGCACGTAGGGGTCTTTAGCAGTGGGAGGAAACCGGAGGCCCCGGAGAAAACCCACGAGGTTGGACAGGCGACCCTACCCCTTGCAACGTACAACCGGGGATTCGAAACCACGCCAGTCGACTCAATGACAGACTTTATGATACAGCGCGCGCACGCTAACCATTCAGCCATCCAACCCCCCAAATAAAAAGAGAGAAATGGGGTTTGTTGTCTAATCGACAACATATGGTTCAATTTTATATTAATAATTTGCCTGCACGTAGGGGTCTTCAATTAACTGTGGGAGGAAACTGGAGGAACGGCGAAAAGCCATAAGACTGGACAGGTGGGCCTACTTCTTGTCACAAACAAAGCTTGCGGTCGAAACCACGCCAATGTCCGATCTTATGTGACACAAATCGAGCCTTGAACAACCAGTCACAATAACATGATATAAAATACGTACGTGAATTACATTGTTTTACCTCTAACACGTCACACAAAGCGTGCCTTGAACGACCAGTGACAATAATATAACATACATGTATAACATAACATATTGCCATTGAGTTGTATTGTTTTTGCCTTGAACAACAAGTCACAAGAACAGAACATTCAGTCGTTTTTACCTCTAACTAAGTATCCCATTAAATAACTGACTAATATTCTTTCATCTCCATTTTTTCTAGTTAAAACATCTGACTGTAACTGTTTCACCGTAGATTCACAAACTTCTTTCGTGAAAAAAGTTTTTATTTGTTGACACACAAACAATTCACTTTTAAATAATTCTGAAAACAAGATGAAACATTTAGAATATTTTGAAATAATTTAACAAATTCAGGTATTCATTATTAATACAACATGAAACTGAACAGATGCTAAAGGCTGAGAAGCAAGGAATTTCTTTGCATGCCTTCGGGCTCCAAAGTCCAGCTTTGTGGCAAAGTGTTAACATCGCAATGTCTTCGCATAACAATTTCTGACCCAAGTATTTTTTGCTCCTCCTCATTTAGCCTAACTTAGCTCTACAGGTAAAGCTTCGCTTCGCGGGGTATAAGACGGCCCTTTTAGAATGTCGTCTCTAAAAGTGAGAATCTGAGCAAGAGAGAAAAATGAGGTTTAACGTCCAACCAACACAAACTAGGTCATTTTGGGTCAATTTTATTTCTATAATTTGCTTGCAGTGGGAGGAAACCAGAGGTCTCGGAGAAAATCCACGAGGTTGGACAGGCGACCCAACTCCTTGTCACGTACAACCAGGGAGTCGAAACCACGCCAGTTGACTCAATGAGAGGTCTTATGATAGAGCGCGCATGTGCTAACCCTTTGGTCATCCAACCCCCCCTTACTCTAGACAAGCCCCTGACCTATTGTAAGTTTCCTGTGATATCACCTCGAAACAAACAAATGGATGGTTGGACGGATGAATAAATAAAAGCATAAAAACCAACCTTCTAAATGATGTACGAAATCCTGACATCGTTTTTCATCTCGTATAATGAGGGTATAACACGAACAGTCTGTACCGAATTCTAACCTGATGCTTTGATTACCCAGACCCACATCAACATGAAATAACTCATTTACTGGCTGGATGTCCAAGCATGTTAACCACGTAGCTGGTGGATCACTGAAAAAAGAAATGAAATGAGGTTAATTTTCCTACTTTTTTTCACCGACTGGGCTAATGGAGATAGGTATACACCATGCAGTGTGCTATAAAGGAAATTTTGCCTGGACAGTGGCGGTGCTTCCTTCCACTTTTTCCACTTCAGAGTTGAAGCTGGCCTATAGTTAAACATGCATTATGCAAGAGCAAAATCTGCTTATTACAAGCCTTTCTTTAGGCCTGAAATGTTATCTAAATTATCAATTAGACATTAATTAACTTATCCAGACCATAATAAACTCTCGATGTCAAGGCTAGCCTTCGATGTTGGCTGGATTAGATTCCTATATGCCGCTAACGGCCGTTGATAATTAAATCACAAAAAGTGGATAATCGAGACTATGCTGTTTATATTAATGATTTTAGTAATGATGACCGAGACTATGCCAAAATTTCACCCGCTTCTTTCTCTGCTCATAGTGGATCAATTTGACTGAAATTTTCAGCAAATTACCTTTACACTATCTAGTTTTTAACTATTATAGCGAGAACTGCCATCTTGTTATCTTATCTCCCATAATGTATCTTTAAAGATACATTACATTATTCAAGAGCCAAATTTGCCTATTGCAGGTCTTTCTTTAGGCCTTAAATGTTATATAAATTATTAATTAGACATTTATTAACATGAAAAAACCCTAATCATCTCTCGATGCCATCAGATGTACAAATTTTAACTAGATTAGAACAGTTTGGCTATTTAATGATTTAATTTAAAAATGGATGAGCAAGTCTAAGTCTCAAATTTCCTTGTACTGTAGTTACAATAATAAACAATCAATGCACACATCTTGTCAAAACTATAAACAGTGATAACTTGGCTCAGAATAAAGTAATTTAAATGAAATTTTCAATTTTTTCATTTTACATTATCTATTTTTGAGCTATTATAGCAAGAACACCTGGCTCTTTATCTAAATCTTACATAATGTAACTTTAAAGCTTGTACCATTAAATCAAAATAGCCTTTATTTTCACTCGACAAGAAGTCGAGTATTATTCCAACCCAGTAGCTTGTTTAAAAAATGAAATGGGGTTTAACGTTCTACTGTTCAGCTCCGACAGGGCTTATGAAGACGAGCATACACCATACAGTGTGCTATGAGGGAAATTTTGCCCAGAGAGCAGGGCTAAAGCCTCCTCTTATACTGAATTCCAACTGCCAAGGGATCTTTTACATGCATGCCCATGTAGACACTGGACCTCGTTTTTTTGTCCCATCCGAACGACTAGACAGCTGTCCTTGTCAGGCCCTCCGTCCTGCATCACTGACAATGGGAAACCACGCTGGAAAATCCTTATCCACCTAACCATTGTGGCTCCCTTAAAGAATTACATCAGCATTATCCAGACATAACTTTTAATGGAGAAAAACCTCTCCTACATGTACTTTCTGAGTTATCCCACCCTTTTGCCTACAAAATGTTCGATAATAATTCAAACATGCCAGAAAACATTGGAATTCATCAAGCGAAGGAATGTCATCTGTTAGGACCAACACCTTTCATGAATGGCATCTACATGTACCAGTAGGTTCTGTTGACTTCCAACTTTTCTTGCCAAATTTTAAACACTACAACATTACCACAATATTTTTTTACATCACTGTACATTTTTGTCCAGACTTTTTTGTTTTGTGGTACCTGATTTTCACAATTGTTTTGATGTCTAAAAAAAATACAGCTAAGAAGTAATCTTAAAGTACATCTTACCTTCTATTTTGAGACGTTATTTTAAGTATATAGAATTTATCTGATGATAAAACAACATAGGCCAGAAATTCTTCCGATATTAAATACTGACAAATATCGGTCTGTAAAAATAAATAAAACATATTAAACGATAATTATAATAATAATCATACAATCTGCTAACTGATATATTTCTTCATCATGTGCAGTGAACAGGTAAATTGGATTAAAAATACTGCCTGTTCACGGCTTAAATCAGAGAGAGGAAGAAATGGGGTTTAACATTCACTTGAAATAAGGTGAGACATATTCTACAAGTCATGTCCAACGGTGGAGAGCATGCGCAATAAATACTTGACTGGAATAACCTGACGCTAGAGATTACCATTTAATTGAGACTTCTGGCGTATTTTGCGGAACATAACTGCTTTTACATTACATTATTATATGCATTGCGACCCATTTGTGTTAATTTCTTGGTCCCAAATATTAGCGATTTAGCTCCTTTAAGACTGATGAGTTCACCAAAGGATCTTGGAGAACTACTTGTTATTTTGGAAGAAGAAACCTTAAAAAACTAACTTCTATTATGCACTGAAATTCCTCCGAATTTTCAAACAATGACATCATAAGATGTAACTTGAGTCTATGATCAATGTCTGTGAACTGTTGTGTTGTAACGCTATCACACACGTCAGCCGAATCACAGCCACTTAACACTTTATAACTACACGAATCGTCCGTCTCGGGTATTGATACGATACTTGGGTCCCGAGAGTACACGACCTTAACGATATCATCCTCCACTGATGATGAACTCTTGTTTATCGATGACTCGTAAATACTGTCATTTCCTGTGGCTTCCGATTCGTCACACAGTACGCTAATATCAGACATATTGTTCTTTTCCGTCACTTGATTTGACTCCTCCCCTTCCGCGGCTGCAGATGACAAATACACGCTAGATACCATGTCACTACACACATTGATGGACAAAGGAGATCCGACTGGAGTTATTGGCCTTTGTTCAAAGCTTTGTTTTGAAGGTTCAATATTCGACACAGTAACGTCTGCTTCACTGATTAACGAACTATCAGCACTATCGAGTTTCTCTTCCGTTAAAATCAGATGCTGTTCTAATTTATTTATTAAAGCATCATGGCTTGGATTAGGCGTAACCCCTAAACTAGCGTCACTTGTCGTATGCAGAATTGTAATATCACTTTCAGACGGAATTCTGGTACGAGAATGTTGATCATGAAAAATTCCTTTACGGGACTTTTCGGCTTCTAGCGGTAAATTTAATGAATTCGTTCTCTGCGATTCAGAAGTTTCACTAATGATGTCCCTAATGAATGCATTACTTCTGCGCCTGCCTTCAGTTTCAAGATCAAAGTTATCCCCCTTTCCAGATACAGCCGATATCACACTTTTCTTTGAAATTCCTTTTGAAAAAAGATTTCTTTTGGCTACGTTTTCACTTTCTATTTGTTCAGTTTTGTTGGAACTGTTCTTCACTGGCGTTGAGTTAGCAAGAGGGCTAGTATCTTGTTTACTGTAATAAAAATAAATTGTTGGATGTCAAAACATTTAAATTAAATTCATAAATGAAATGAAATGAATGGGGTTTAACGTCTTACAGTTCTGCTCCTACTGGACTAATGAAGTGTGCTGTGAGGAATATTTTGCCCAGGCAGCGGCACTGTGGCCTACTTTTATATCAAATTCCAACTTCCAAAGAATCTTTTACATAAAACCTGCCCTTATTGACAAATTGTAAATATTGTCATTTTCCATGCGCTAATATCAGATGTATTGTTCTTTTACGTCACCTTATTATGCACTGGGAAACGAGACCAAAACTGAACCTGCCCTTTGGAAATAAGACAAGACTGAACCTGCTCTTATGCATTGGGAAAACGGACCAAGATCGAATATTGAGAAATAAGACACAGCTCAAACATGCCCTTAAACGACCAAGATTGAACCTGTCCTTGAAGACACGACCAAGATTGAACCTGTCCTTGAACAATTACAAATACCGCGAAGAGAAACAATGAACAAACCTGAGTTGTGATGGACTGTAAATTTTTTTATCCATGTAACTACCAATAGTACTTGAAGAATAAGAACCATATGGTGTTGAGGTAGCGGAGTTTGTTTCTGGTTTATCAGGATTCTCAACTTCTATAACCAAATCACTACCACATTTATTACATTTATATAACATTTTACCTACAAAAAACAAATTACATTTATACAACATTTTACCTACAAAACAAATTACATTTATACAACATTTTACCTACAAAACAAATTTACCTACAAAACAAATTACATTTATATAACATTATACCTACGAAACAAATTACATGGCCTGGAAATAATGGTTTTAGATGTACCTGACAAAATGTCAGGCACTAATAGTATTTCCAGGTTTGCATATATACAACATTTTACCTACAAAACAAATTACATTTATACAACATTTTACCTACAAAAAAACATAGCAAATCTTGATATTTTGTTCAGAACCATGTGTCAGTATTTACGGTGCACTGTATGTTTTAAGGGAACTAACTCTGAGGGTTAAGTCAGGTAATAAAAAGATGCCATGTGGCAGATTTGTCTTTTAGATCGAACCATCGAAATGAAATATTTGTATTGTACATCGTTTAAATGTTCGTAATACTCTGCAATAAACATCGTCTCAAACATATTTCATTTATACAACGATAAAAAAAAAAAACCCATAGCAAATTTTAATATTTCATTTAAATACAATGTTTGATTTTCTTCTCAGACAACGTTGTGATACTGACTAATCCTTTAGCAACTGTGCGATTCAAGCAGGTTTTCCATATTGTGCAAAAAATCGTTCTACTTTAAAAAAATCTTCCAGTTTGGACAAATGAAATTGGGTTTAACGTCCTACTGTTCTGCTCCGACTGGGCTAATGAAGATGGGTATACATCATACAGTGTGCTATGAGCGAAATTTTTCCTGGAAAGCGGTGCTATATGGCCTAGTCTTATATCAAATTCCAACTGCCAAGGTATCTTTATTTGATATTTTTTGTTTATTTCTTTCAATGTCTGTGTAGTTTGTCTTTTCAGCAAGCTTTTCATATCAGTTTTGTTTTGCTTGTAAAGCGGTCCTTCCGTACCTACTATGAGAGTATAGTGTTGGGTATTGCCACTACAGTGACGATACGATACATATTGTGATTCATGGGTTACGATATGATTCATAACTAGGTCAATATTAACCAAGAAAACAAGAGGATAAATAAATAATTGATATTTTTAGTCCTGTTGAAGAAATAAAACTGTTTTATATCATGATATTGATGTGGATCAAATTAAGGACCAAAACAATTTAAAAGTGTTTGATGTGAATAATTTCATGTAAGATGACAGATTACTTACAGAAGTGACACCCCCCCCCCCCCCAAAAAAAAACAACACTAAGAAAGAATCGCGCTACATCGATTTCGCATCCCGCGATACAATATGCGAATCGTGAAGTGAATCGCAATACATCGATTCAACAATGTATCTATACTATTCAAAAAAAGTAGGGGATATTTGATTTTTAAGTGTTATTAAAGTCACCTAATGAAACTGACGAAGAAACAAATGACAAAATGAAATGAAGTTCACATTCATCGATCGATTCTAAATGATCGTTAGACTAAGTAAGGCACAGACTGACCATTATAAGGGTAAAATGATACCCGGGGTCAAACAGCAAAGTTACCACAGCATCACAATCAAGTCAGTAACGGGTAAATCCTCCTCTGTTTGCCAAACAAGCATTGATTCGACGTGGCATACCCCTAATGAGACGTCTAAGGTCATTTTGGTCCAGATTGTCCCATTCCTGTTGCAACGCAGCAGCAAGTTCTTGGACATTGGCAGGACGTTGTTGACGTTGACGTAACCTCTGTCCAAGCATGTCCCAGACATGCTCGATGGGGGAGAGGTCGGGACTCAGTGCTGGCCAAGGTAATGTGGTGATGTTCTGTTGTTGGAGGTAACCTGTAACGATCCTGGCCCTGTGACATCTTGCGTTGTCATCCTGGAAGATGAAACGGCGGCCATGACGTCGTGAGAACGGCACAACATGGACTGCCAAGATGTTGTCCCGGTAGTACTGGCCTGTAACACGCCCTGCAACAACATGTAAAGCCGTTCTTCCAGCAACAGTGATGCCTCCCCACACCATAACAGAACCACCCCCAAATCAATCATGTCTGATGACGTTAACATCTTGGAAGCGCTCGTTTCGACGACGCCACACCCTCCTACGTCTGTCCAAAAAATCAACAGTGAACCTTGACTCATCTGAAAACATCACATTGCTCCAGCGTCGATTATCCCAGTGTTGACGATCCCTACACCAACGACGTCTTGCCTGAATGTGATGATCTCTCAAACAAGGAATCAAACGAGGACGTCGGGCGCGAAGGTGACCCCTATGCAGTCGATTCCGAATCGTCTGGCCACTCACTCTCACACCAGTGTCTGTTTGAAGACGAGCGCTGATCTGATTTGCTGTGATGACACGATTTCTCAAGGCCAAGGTACGGATAAATCGATCCTGGGCTTGAGTTGTCGCCCTTGGTCGACCTGAGCGTGGTCTGTCCTGTACAGATTGTGTATCACGGTATCTGGACCATAGCCTGCTTATGACAGACTGAGAAACATTCATCGTCCGCGCCACAACCGCCTGTGTTGTGCCGATCTGTAGCATGCCAAGGGCACGTAACCTTTCATTTTGGGTAAGCCGACGCATATTAAAATTTGTTTTCTGGTCACTAAAACAATTAAACTGATGTTTCCACCCTGGAATTCAATGCCACAATGACTGTAACATTCAAAGTCAGAGTCGTGCAAATCTTGGGTTGGACCCCCATGATGATCCCAAGCATCACCTGCATTCCATGCGGTAGCTATTGGTGCGTTTGGGCGTCACATGTAACTGGAAATGTTTCTTCTGTTAGGTTCTATAGTGACTTTTTTCGTAGTCATTTGCATATTTTAGTATTATGCCCCCAAAATCAAATATCCCCTACTTTTTTTGAATAGTAAGATTATGAGTAAATATATTATCACAATATAGAATTTCAGAAAAGTATACACAACAAAAATAACGTAATAATATCGTTATCATGTTAATTTGGTAAAATTTTTTCTCAATATTTTTTCATTATCGTTCAACCATATTTTGGCCTAATAGTTATTAAAATTAATAATTCCAAAATCAAATATATTTACCGTTTTTGTTTATATTTTGTAGATCTTTACTACTACCTCTAGATGGCATCTTCTCTGATTTCTTTAATATTCCATCTTTAGCTTTGAATTGATTAGAACATTTTAAGCACTGAAAAATTAAATAATGACAATAATAATAATTTTCTAGAGTGTTGAACATTCAGTCAGTTTGACTGCTCTGTTGTGCTTTACTAGACAACAAGCACAATAGATATACACAAACTTGACATGTTTCATACACAAAATATAAAATAAATCTAATTTTGATAATTAATTGAACCAGCGGTTGCCAGGCAAGATACACATAGATTTTGCAAGAGATGGATAGAGAACAATTCTAGAGACTTCGGGACTAACATATGGTTTAATTTTATTTCAATAATTGCTTGCGCGTTGGGGTCTTTTAGCAGTGGGAGGAAACCGGAGGACTCGGAGAAAACCCACGAGGATGGACAGGCAATCCCACTCCTTGTCACGTACAACCGGGGATTCGAAACCACGCCAGTTGACTCAATGACAGGCGTTATGATACAGTGCGCACGTGCTTACCATTCGGTCATCCAACCCCCCGATTAAAAAAGTGACAGTCCAGGATAGACATAACTGAAACTGCTTCAAGTGACAGAGAATATCCAAAAAAACTAGCAGAGAGACCGAGTGTAACACTATCTTACAGATAACAGAAGATCAGCATAATTAATAAGATCTTTATTGAGAACATGAAATAGACATAAATCAGGAGGAGCTCTATTCCAAGTCTGACTTGCTGTCAGTAAACGCCTGCTTATATAGCGTCTAACAATTAGGGAAGATGGACAGGAGTGATAATCATATATGGTATTGTTTATTATCAAATTATGGTGTTTGTAATTACACTGCATGTTTCTTTGGAAGTCATTGTCAGGTCAAGGCACTGACCACTACTACATTCTCTTTGAAGTTCTGTCGAATTATACACGGATCATGTGTAGTTTGTAAAGAACATTGAATAAACTAGATGTTTATTAAGATCGTGCCAATGTTTAAACGTCAACTTCAGGTATAGATCACTTTGTCACACCAGGCACACTTTACACATCACAATTTTTTATGCTTTTTGTTTGTGTAAAAATATTCTGATATGAAATTCTTGACTTTCTGTTACCGTCCAATCACATGTACATTATCAAAATTATTATTAAATATTGGTATTAATTTTACCTGATATAGAGAATTATGATTAAATATGAGTATTATTTTTACCTGATATAGAGAATTATTATTAAATATGAGTATTATTTTTACCTGATATAGAGAATTATTGGTTGATTTTAAATCTTGAGCAGTTAAAAATGGTTGTAGCAGATCTAACAATCTCTGAAATAACAAGAATATCATTTTAAAATTAAATTTGACGCATGCATCATAAATAGACTTTAAAATTTAATGTGAATGTGTTAGTCGTTAAACCACTTAGCCACTAGTGCTGGGTATTGCCACAGCAGTCACCATACGATACGTATTGTGATTAGTATCGTGATTAGTATCGTGTTTCAAAACCAGGTCAATATTTACCAAGAAAACAACAGTCAACACGATAAATAAATAATTGATATTTTTAGTCCTGCTGATGTCGAAGAAATAAAACTGTTTTATTTCAAGATATTGATGTGGATCAAAATAAGAACCAAAATAATTTAAGAGTGTTTGTGTACCTATGGATAATGTGTGACGTGGATAATTAAGAGTGACAGGTTACTTACTGAAGTGGCAATAAAAACATAAAAAAGAATCGTGATACATCAGAGAGAGAGAGAAATGAGGTTTAACGTCCACGCGACACAAACTAGGTCATTTTTGGGACTAACTCATGGTTCAATTTTATTTCAATAATTCGCTGGCACATAAGGGTCTTTAAGCAGTGGGAGGAAACCGGAGGACCCAGAGAAAAACCATGTGGTTAACAGGTGATCCTACTCTTTATCACGTCCAAGCTTGGACTCAAAACCACATCACTTATGATATACAGCGCACGGTAAACCTTTCTGCTACCCACACATCCCCTCCTCCCATTAAGTCACATCTTCAGGTGTGTATGGTAAAACAACTACCTGTATAAGTATATATATATTATATATATTCTTATTATCTTCAGGTGTGTATAATAACTACCTGTATAAGTATATATATATATTTTATACCTGAACATTCTCATCATCTTCCATAATATAACTTTTCTCTCTTCGATCTTTTTTAATATAATCAAAACTAAGTTGAATCTGGGGTAACGTAACGCTATCAACGACATCTGCATGTTGTACCTGTGTCTCTCCCATCTCAAAACCTTTCAAACATTTTAAATCATATCTATCTATAACGCAACCATTGAGATCTTTTTCTACGATGTATCTCTCATTTAGTACAATAATCAGCTGTTTGTAGTCTTCATTTTCTATCATCACTATAAACGGTTCAGATTCATCACCTGAAAAATCAAATTACAATTTAGAATTATAATTTTCTGGTTTGTAGTAGGAGATGCAAGAAATCAACAAAGTACAAAATACAATAGGTTGTCCACAGCAGTGAGTAGCTCCATATATCCTTCATATGGAAGCATTAAAAGTCCCTAAAAACCATAATCAGATCAGAATTTTTTTGTCTCATTAAGATTTTTAAAAGTAAACAAGGGCTATAAATCTAACCATCATTTTCAAAATTTTCAAAAAGGTCCTGTTTTCGATCCCAGTGTTGGCCGAGAAAGTTCCTCAGGATTTTCCAGCGTGGTTTACTCTTGTCAGTGGTGCAGGACGGAGGTCCTGACAAGGTCCCGTGAATACATTGGCATGTACATAAAGGAACCCTTGAAAGTTGGGATTTGATATAAGATTTCATATGGGTATTCCACTAGAAACATCAACGCTGATTGGTTAATCAAATGTCTGATGTCATGGGGTCAAAAGCCACTTGTATGACCCCTGAAGCAAACCCTTCCACTACAACTGACCAGATCTTCATGTAGTGTAGACCATTGAAAGTATAAAAAATCGAAACGAAATATAGATCTGTATTTTAATCAGATTGAAGTCATTCAAGCCTTACCATAAAATTCTGCTTCCTCTTCTTCCGTTCGGTTCCATTCCTCTCCCTTAACACTGTATAACCTTTGTACCCCATCTTTCTTTTTATCAGCAGTCATATAAATACCTTCATCCTTTACTTCTAATTTATCCTCCTGAGAGTTATCTACCCTTTCAAAATGGCTGTCAACATTACCATTCATCATGTCCGTCTTCTTAAAACTGCCAGACGTTTCAAGTAAGTAGAGGTCATCGTCTGTAGGTCCCTGTTTAAAAGAATCATGGGAATCGATTTCCATCGGCTGCTCCGTGTCGACTTTAACGGTTACTTGGTTTGTGTCTGAATCACTCGTTCCGCTAGTTACTGGATCGCTTTGCCTCGTGTTGACGTGCTCCTCTTCCATGGCTCTCAACCAATCTGGACCGTAATGGTTTCTAAATAATTCTATTTCTTTCCGCGTCTTCATGGCGGCGCGAAGATAATCTGGCCTTGGTGATGAGGCTAAAATAAAAACAAAATATTATATTTTTTGATCCAACAAATTGTTCTGATTTTTTTTTTTGATATGTGTTCTATGAATCTTATCTTTACATCAATTATGGGAGATCAGATAGAGAGCTGGCAGTTCTCGCTATACTAGTTAAAAACTAGATAATGTAAAAGGAATATGCTGAAAATTTCAGTCAAATTGCTTTACTCTTAGCCGAGAAAACCTCATTTCAAAATCTTTGTAGTCTTGATTGTCATTGTAGCACTGTCACGATAATTAACAAAGTCTCGATTATCCAGATCGGATTCAAATCCAATGAAAATAGGACAGATAAGATGGCATCGAGAGTTGATTATGGTCTTTTCATGTGCATAAATGTGAGCTGCTGCACAAAACCAAGCAATTGGTCATTTTTATAAAAATAGATCTGACAGCATATTTGAATAGTCCACAGCCTAAGCTTTCCAAAAATGCAATTCTTCTTAAATTTGTCTTATCATCTTGAGTTCTGCTCATTCACAGCACCAAGAAAGCATACAGTTTATGTTTTTGTGCCCGTAGTACAAAATAAAGCTGTGCGACAACCGCCTGGTTACATGGGAGTGGGTCACAAATGTCTAACTAATAATTTAGATAACAGTTCAGGCCTAAAGAAAGATATGCAATAGGCAGATTTAGCTCTTGCATAATGTATGTTTAACATACATTGTAGCCATTGTTAATTATAATACAATATGACCCCAATTCCAAAGGATGGGTTTCCATAAAAAAAGGGGGGGTTGGGTGGTCGAATGGTTTAACAAGTGCACGTTGTATCGTAAGTTCTGTCATAGAGTCATAGCATTATTTAATGCATGCTGTGGTTTTGATTCCCCTCTTGTACGAGACAAGGAGTAGGGTCACCTGTCCAACCTCGTGGGTTTTCTCCGGTTTCCTCCCAATTCTAAAAACCCCTTACACGCAAACAAATTATTGAAATAAAATTGTAATGGATTGTGTCGTGTAGGCATTAAATCCCATTTCTGTCTCTCTCTCTTCCCATTCTGCACACAGAGATCGATCTACTTCATACTTCGAGAAAAGATCTCTCTCCTGGTTGGCGGCCATATTCAAAACTTAGTGTACTGTTTTATAATGCGGTTCTACTCCGTTTCACATCTGGCATACACACAGACTAAATAAACTATTCAATTCCATTAAAAGGGAGCAGAATAAATACTGAACAAACTTCTCAAAGTATACTTAGTGTTTTCGAATAAAATCATTGATTTAGGACTTAAAATGTCAGTCAACTAGCTTAGTGTCTGTAGACAGACAGCGTTAGTTTAGTATATATCTCTCTCTCTCCCCCTCCCTCTCTCCCCCTCCCCTCTCTCTCTCTCCCCCCCCCCCCTCTCCTCTCTTACCTGCTGATGTGTCTGGAGAATCTAATTCAGTTGTAGAAGATTCCAGATCAGAAATATCAGACGCTCTATTCTTGGTTCTCTTTCGCTTTTTCCGACTCGTTGCTACGGGTAACGAAGTGGCGATATTATCCGAATCATCGAACATATAGTCTTTAGATATAATATTCTCTGAAGATCTGTATCTTGGTTGGGATATCACACCATGTGCTATAGCAGACGGCCTTCTTACAACGAAAACATTAACCCCTTTTATTTGCTGATAAAATAAAACAGTAAATCAATATAAGTACAGATAATATCCGAGGGAGAGAGGGTTCCCCCTAGGCTAAGCCTTTTTCCCAATCTCACTCACATAACCTGAATTAAAAAAATTTGCCCCCCCCCCCCCGCCAATAAAAATCTTAAATATTACATTACAAAAGAATCATGAGCAAATTTTTATCTTGGTTTTCTTCCTTGGGGTGACACTCCTCCCCCACCCCCACTCCCTAATTTAGCATGCTTGTTCCTTAGATAATGGCACATTGATTGGCCGACATTGTATTTTGCTGTCACAATTCCAAGATGGCGGTGATGATGTCATGCTCTGTTCCTGGTCCATAGTACTATCGTAGTTTATTCAAATTGCATTAAATTTCACAGAAATAAGCAAACTGGCCCTAAGTTCACAAAGCATTCGCAGACTTATGTTAAGAATTTACTCAAAATTGCTAAAACTTTTGTTGTTTTAATGTATCAAATACGTCAATAATAAACTATGTGCAAATATATCAAAACCCAACAGTACTTGGTTTAGCTACGTAGACGCTTTTAGTTCATATTTTTTATTTTTACAAATTTAAACAAAACACAAAATAGCTACTTATTCATCAACACCAACACCCCTAAGAACTAAAAAAAAATAGTTGGTTTTTGATCATTAATTTAAAATATTTTTTGTACTCACCGATAATTCTGAGTTTGTCACTTTCTTACAATCTAGCTCAAACTTAAATCAAAAACAAAGTCAAATATAGAAATGTTATAATTATTAACCAACAACACATTTTGATAAGACTTTCAAAAGTATGCAATGAAAACTAATGTATCTAATGCATGTTCTGTAAAACAAAATTCTATTGCTATAACATTACAACCCTTAGTGGATTATGCAAAAAAGATGTTATAATTATGACATTACAACCCTTAGTTGATAGTACTAGATAGATGTTATAATTACAAACCTTAGTTGATAATGCAAGAAAGATGTTATAATTACAACATTGCAACTCTTAGTTGATAACGCTAGAAAGATGTTATAATTGCAACATTACAACCCTTAGTTGATAATGCTAGAAAGATGTTATAATTACAACCCTTAGTTGATAATGCTAGAAAGATGTTATAATTACAACATTACAACGCTTAGTTGATAATGCTAGAAAGATGTTAAAAATTACAACCATTAGTTGATAGTACTAGAAAGATGTTATAATTACCAACCCTAGTTCATAATGCTAGAAAGATGTTATAATTATAACATTACAACCCTTAGTTGATTATGCTAGAGAGATGTTATAATTGCAACATTACAAACCGTAGTTGATAATGCTAGAAAGATGTTATAATTACAAACCTTAGTTGATAATGCTAGAAAGATATTATAATTACAAACCTTAGTTGATAATGCTAGAAAGATGTTATAATTACAACCCTTAGTTGATAATGCTAGAAAGATGTTATAATTACAACCCTTAGTTGATAATGCTAGAAAGATGTTATAATTACCAACCCTGGTTGATAATGCTAGAAAGATGTTATAATTACAAACCTTAGTTGATAATGTTAGAGCTGAGAGATGTTTTAATGTTAACTGTCGATGTTTGGAATGGTACGTCAGTGGATTCCCTGATAGTTTTAACTGAAAGTAAAACAAGAAACTTTTCACAACAAATGTTTAATGAATTTTATATACTTTGTTTTATAATATTTGTTATTAATTTATAGAAAACAATCACATCCAGTCTTTGCTTGGAGTTAAAACCAGCTTTATTATGGTCAAATATCAGCGTTGTCAAGAGAACACATTTTGAACTGACATATTTTTTATTTTCCTTTCAATCGAGGAAGACACATTGTCTATAAATTGTGATACATCATGTATAGATACCTGGAAGAGCATGACTAAAGATGATAATGGTTGCATGAATACATACCTGGAAGAGCATGACTAAAGATGATAATGGTTGTAATGCTGAATGTTCTGATAAACAATTATCACATAGATCCAGTTCTTCTAATAATACCAACTCTTCTACACCTATAAATATACATGTACAACAAAATATACAACATAAAATATACAAATTCAGCGAATAAGGTGGCAATATAAGCTTATGCCAGTCGAAATACTCTACTTTCATTAATCAGAAATAAAATGAAATGGGGTTTAATGTCCTACTGTTCTGCTCCTATACTGGGCTAATGAAGACGGGCATACGCCATACAGTGTGCTATGAGGGAAATTTTGCCTAGGCAGCGGCACTACCGCCTACTCTTATATCGAATTCCAACTGCCAAGGGATCTTTTACGTGCATTCCAATATATACACAGGACCTCGGTTTTCCGTCTCATCCGAAGGACTAGACAGCTGTGAGAGGAAACCAGAGAAAACCGACAAGGCTTGACAGGCAACCCTACTCGTTGTCACGTACAAGCGGGGAATCGAAACCACGCCACTTACCTCAATGACAGACCTTATGATGCAACAGCGCGGGTTAAGGGGGGAATTTAAAACAGGACCACCAGGTTAACAAGGCAATATCTCATTTCCTAATAATGCCAAGAAGTACATTATAAAGAAACTCACCTTGAATACTATCGAGATTATTATTTTTAAGAACCAAGGTTTTTAAACGTCCTTTAGCAGAAATAGAAAATGTAGGAACCACATCCAGCATGTTGTATCCGAGATTAATTCTCTGTAGTTCTGTTAAATACTGAAAAAAAATATAAACAGCAACATTACAAAACCTGTTAAATAGTAGAAAAAAATAAACAGTAGCATTACCAAAACCTGTTAAATACTAGAAAAAAAATAAAAACGGCAACTTTAAATTAATTACAAAAACTGTGCAGTAAAATAGGATGTTGATTACTATGTAAACTTGTCGAGCACTCTTGAAGGCGCTCATTTCTTCATTTAACATCTTTTAAAGAAAATCAAACAAAAATAGCAAAGGCAGACAATCTCCTGAATTGGATATACAAAATTTACTCAACGCTGGCTACTGTAGTACTGTATATACTTCACTATATCATTGTAAATACTGAATAGAATTTAGCCATTTATTGAGAGATTCAACTGTCACTATATTGTAGTTTGCAATTAAAGATATACATTTAAATATTTCTACCTCTAAATAATTATCTGTTTTCTCGAGATTGTTGTGACTTAAATCTAACACTTCTAATACTGGTAATAATCTCTGAAAAACAAAAAACAAGTTATACTTTCTTACTACCTCAAAAACATTAGGCGTTTTTATCGACCACTGATTAGCCAAAGTGATTTGCATTCAATCAGATTTTCATCTTTAATGTCCATCTTATTCAAATTGGTTACCCTAATCAACGAATTTATCGACACCGATTTCCGAAGCGATTACATCAAATCGCCAAATTACTTCAGGGTGCGATTTGACAATTTGATCGGGTGATCACGTGTTTTTTTCAACTGTGTCCAGCCACAACAATTGTTTACAGCTAATCGGAGCATTTAACGAACTCGCCAAAGTACTTTGAAATCGACTATAATGTCACATGACATCTCCACTAAATTCAAATCGATTTGGCAAGTCGATAAAAAAAGCCTATAATCTTATTAATTGTTTGATCTGGTGTCTAATTGCAGGGAAATAAAAATTGGACCAGATCATTTCATTCAGGGAATTTGTTCATCCGAGGTTTAAACTTTAAATATTATTTCCTAACGACAAATTATGTGGAGCACTGACATTCTGAATAATCTTATAAACTGATCTAAAGTGCTGTTAAAAAGTAATAAGCTTTTATCACCTAATGGAGCGACAAACAGATAAAGTTGACGACAATATACATATATCACAACCTTTCCGTGTACAAAAATATAATCCTTGAGTAGCATTTAGCGATTGAGAACAATAAGAAAAACATAATTTATAAGGAAAACAATCACTGGTTTATACACATACAGCCATCCTCCGTATTCCTAGTGTTCTCATTCTGTTACAATCCACTAACTACTCGGTCCATCCATGATGATTATGCTATTTTTATCCACCAATCAAAAAAATCGTTTAATACGTAAACACTGACATAAAAACAACTTTCCCATCAAAATGATGTTTTAGGACTTGTCACTTCTTTTATATTAAATTTCTTGCAAACTTTCTCATAATCGACAATAAGTTCGAATTTTGTTCTGAACATAAGCAATGAGGCTAAGACTGGTTTGTAAACTGATTTTTGATTGGTTCGTAGAAATAAGCTAAGATCAAGTGAAGATAATTGGAGAGAGAGAGAGAGAGAAATGGGGTTTAACGTCCACTCGACACAAACTAGGTCATTTCGGGACTAACATATGGTTTAATTTTATTTCAATAATTCGCTTGCGCGTAGGCAGGGCTGCCGACAACCAGTATCGCAGCGCAATTTGCGATACATATTTTGTCCGTTGCTAATCAAAAATTAAAATCTAACGTTTAATATGCCTGTCATTTTGGATATTGACACAAAGATTTATCCACATTTCTCAACACTTTCAACGTGTATAAAATATCAAATAAATTTTATAAACAAAACGGAATTCTCCGTGTGACATTTTCTTCTCGAACTACCCAGACTCAATTCATGATACTATATAATACAGGGACATAACTCTATGAATCGGGACTATTAAACCGGAAATAGGGAATCAAGTAGTACCACTCACGTTGCGAGACATGTCAATTTCGAGTAATTATATCAGTATTCAATTTGAAAAAAAATAAATTCAGTGTATCCCCCACCTATTGTAAATAAAATATAAAAAATAAATATGTGTAAACGTATTGTAAAGTGAGAAATCAAAGTAAGAATTCCTGTAAACTATTATTGTTTATATCGCGTGCGTCTAGTTAATCGAGATTATTCGTAAAATGCCGCGTGCTTCCGATTGAACAAAAATAATAACACACGATAAAAAGCAGACGAAATTGTTTTCTAACGAAGAAATAAGAAGCCACTGCCAAGAATTGGCTTCAGACATAAGGCCTAACAAAAGTCTACATTCATTCAGAAATGTTCACAGCTAGCTGTAGAAGTGCTAAAATTCTAAAAAAAATCTTAAGAATGAAATCTAATCATTTGCTATCAATTAAAATTAAAATAATCTGGTTATTTAGGTGTTTTATGTTGATTTGAAACTGAAAAACTGCTAATCAATTTTTAAATTTGCTAATCAAATTTGGCAAAATTGGACTTTTTGATTAGCAGTGCTGCTAATCATCTGTGAAAAATTACCGACAGCCCTGCGCGTAGGGGTCTTTAAGAGTGGGAGGAAACCGGAGGACCCGGAGAAAACCCACGAGGTTGGACAGGCAACCCTACTCCTTGTCACGTACAACCGGGGATTCGAAACCACGACAGTCGACTCAATGACAGACTTTATGATACATCACGCCCACCCTTACCATTCAGCCATCCAACCCCCCCCCCAGATAATTAGAATATGTGAAAACATCATGAATGAACCTAGGGTATATTGGAGTAGAACGGAATGAGAGCACTGGGGATACTGAGGATGACATAGAGCATGACATTTGTACTTGATAAGAGAATACTTGTGGAAACATCATGCTATGTGTGTATAAACCAGTGATTGTTTTCCATACAGATTGTGTTGGGTTTTTGTTTTTTGGTACTATAATTTGACACACGAAATTATCAGAAACAGAAGCAAAAAACAGAATTGCTCATAAAATGTCTACTCACCAACGATCCATCTAATCTAGTTAAACTGTTAAAACTTAAATTAGCTGAAGATAATTGAGGCCAGGACATCGGAGAACTCATGTCACTTCCACAAGTTTCAAATAAATCCTGTAAAATAGAAATGAAATGGGGTTTAACATCCTACTGTTCTGTTCCAACTGGACTAATGATGATGGGACATACGCCATACAGTGTGCTGTGAGGGAAATTTGTCCCAGACAGCGGCACTACAACCTACTCTAATATCGAATTAAAACTGCCAAGGGTTCTTTTATGTGCACGTCAATTTGCACAAGGGACCTCGGTTTTTTGTCCCATTCAACAATTTTACTTTGTACCTTGCCGGACCCTCCATCCTGCACCACTGACAAGCGGGGAACCATGCCGGAAATGAAAACATCAAGAGCTGATTATGTTCTGGATACGTTAATTAATGTCTAATTAATAATTAGATAACATTTCAGGCCTAAAAAAAGATCTGCAATAGACAGATTTAGCTCTTGATGTACATTGAATTGATGAAATTTTTAAAAAAAAATGAGAATTGATATAGCAATATACATTTTATTCTTTTTGGCTGCAAGTGACGGAAAATCCCTCAATTAGCGGCTTTACTAGGCCTGCATACCTGTAAATGTTGCAGGCTTCTTGAAACAATGACGGTTCGTAATTGACCTCGGAGATGATGAAGGCCTTCGATCATATGTATAGGTGCTTTCTTTACTTCTAATATTTGTAGATTTCTGAAGCGTTGAACCTGTACGGCACCCTGCATGGTGTTGGTGCCATGTATAATCTAAATAGAAAATCAATCAAAACAATTTATTAACCTTTGTAAGTTTTAAAAGACGACAATGAGGAAAAGACATTCAAATGCACAAAAATACTAAAAGATATTATTTTTTTGGGCGGAAAAGTTATATGGTTTTGAAATTAAAATAAAATTTTGGTGGAAATAAATGGGAACCCAGAGTGAACACTGTATGACAAGTTTATAAATAGAATGAAATGGGGTTTAACATCCTACTGTTCTGCTCCGACTGGGCTAATAAAGACGGGCTTACGCCATACAGTGTGCTATGAGGGAAATTTTTGCCCAGACAGCAGCGCCTCGGCCTACTCTTATATCGAATTCCAACTGCAAGGAATACTTTTACGTGCACACGCCAATGTGTAAACGAAACCTCTTTTTTTGTCCCATCCAAACGACTAGACAGCTGTCCTTGTCAGACCATCCTAATATTGTATACATGTATCTAAATATCATAAACAGTTCATATGAAACAAAGGGGGCTGGTTGGGCGAATGGTTTAAAGCTTGCATGTTAGATTATAAGGCCTTTCATTGAGTCAAGTGGCGTGGTTTTGATTCCCCATTTGTACCTGACAAGGAATAGGGTCAAATGTCCAACCTTGTAGGTTTTCTCCGGTTCTTCCCATTGCTAAAGATTCCTACACTAAAGGCTTCGTTGTCTCATGAAAATAAAAACTGTGTATGAATTTTAAGTCTATCAGATGATAACTTTAGCCTTTAGAGCATCCATTCATATGATTTGAAATATAATGCTTACAATGTCCTTGTTTTTATCTTGTCTGCATTATTTCCTTGTAGCTCTAATACATGTAGTTTTTAAGGCTTACAATGTCATTGTTTTGTCTCGTCTGAATGTTTTTCTTATGGTTCTGTGTGGCGTGGTGGAAATACACCTAATAACAAAAATCTTACCTTTAAAGATGGACATCGACTTATAAAATCTCTTATAAAGTTCACATCTTCTTTCCATTTTAAAGTATTTTGTGGTGAAAGAGACAAAGCTGTCGACATTCCGCCATCAGAATATTCTACGTCACTCAATCGACGGAAAGCTGTTGATAACATACCAAGACTCTGGGTTGTCAGGGCAAATTTACTTTCACCCGAAATAATCTTTCCCCCTACAAAATAATTAAAAATATTTCTATAGTCAAACTATAAAAAATTCCATTAATTAAACATACATTATTCAAGAGCTAAATCTGCCTATTGCAGGTTTTTCTTTAGGCCTGAAATGTTATATAAACTATTAATTAGATATTCATTAACACAACAAGACCATAATCAACTTTCGATGCCATCGGATACTTGAGATTTTAACTACATTAGAATGATTCACCATTTAAAAACTTAATTAAAAAATGGGAAAGCTAGACTAAGTCTCGAATATAACAGTGCCCTGGTTGGCACAGTGCACACATCTTGTCAAAACTACAAACAGTTATAACTTAGCCCAGAATAAAGTAATTTAAATAAAAGTTTCAATATATTCATTTTTCATTATCTATTTTTGAACTATTATAGCAATATAGAAAATTCAAAAATAAAATTCCTACCATTTTCCCTGAGTAGAGAGCAAAGTTTTCCAAGAACAAAAAAATCTTGATCTTCTTTTTGCCCTGGCATGATGGTTGTACTAGATTCTGTTTCAAGTCTTATTCATCATTATGGTATAATCTATTCAGTTTGTCTGGGCAGTTCAAGATTACAATACCATTTACATGTATATGCTTAATTATATATTCAAAAATACTTCATCCAGACTTATTCATTCACCTCTCAACTGAAATGGAAATTAAGGATATGAAATTTATTATTAGCCTTTTGGTGTAAATAAGTTCTGGTAATATAACAATCCCTTCCTTTAATTAAACATTCATTATATATGCTGCATTACCATAGCTGAGTAGACCAAGGTTAGTGCTTGGTTTTTCGATCGAGAGAGAGAGAGAGAGAAATGTGGTCCACTCAACACAAACTACATGTAGGTTGTTTTGGGACGAACATATGGTTCAGTTTTTTACTTTAATAATTCCCTTGCGTGTAGGGGGTCTTTAGCTGTGGAAGGTAACCGGAGGACCCAGAGGAAACCCATGAGGTTGGACAGCCTCCCTACTCCTTGAATCAAAATCACACCACTTGACTCAATGACAGATCTTATGTTTTCATATACACATGTTAAACCACTAGATCACCCAAAACACCCTGATCATTGTTGAGCATTATTGAGTATATTCTCGTTACATATTAAGAAGGGATAATCCCCTGTTATATATTAATGGATATAAAGGTGAAATAGGGTGAACTGCTTTATCTATTATTTATGTAAGAGAAATGAAATGGAATAAAATGAAGTTTAAATTTTGTGAGCCAGTGCCTTACACTTTAAAACTGCTCCATGAGTCAGTACCCCGCCAAAAAAACTATCTCCAAATATATAGGCCTAAGACTTAGTTTTCCACATTTGTCATGAACATTGGTAGAAATAAGTTACAGCTTTCAATAGAGCAAATTTCTGACAGGGTAGAAACACCCTAACCATGGCAGCTGATCTATTTAAGTAGAGCAGTACTTGGATTTGTGAGATAAATATTCAGTCATAGTGACACATCCAACAGGTAATAATATATTAGGCCTAATTTGAATATTTTGTATGTCACAATTAAACAGGCCTAGCCTACATGTAAGCCTATATATGTGTTATCATGATAAAGATACAAAAAAAGATATGGCTCTTTTATTTTTTATTGGGTAGGCCTAGCTTTAATAATTACAAATGGATTAATAATAGGCTACCGGTAGGCCTATGAATGTTACAATAGATATCTATGATGAACAATTATACAAAATCTATTCCCATGGTCCCTCTTGGCCTATAACGATTGACGTCTGCTTCAGTGGGTGAGAACATACTGGGTTAAGAATCAGTCAAAAATAAGGAAATAATTGATAAAAAATACTGACATACATAATGATACAAATCCAAAACAACACTTCTACAAATCATGTGACTTTAGAGGAAGTGAAGTATTAATATTTGATGTAGCCAAATTTTCGTATTCAGTTCAATATCTCCATAAACATAACATTTAATATAGTCACAATATTATAGTGTTACAATTCTTCAAATTACAATGTTTTACGAGCACGAGTTAATTGGAAAATATTATGCCTAATTATTTGACGAGTTTTTCAGTTTTGAGTCTGGTGGTCAAAGGGAAGTAACTCTGTTTAAGAGTTGTCGTTCCCTGAATAATCTGTTTCATAACTTTACGAACTTCGTCTTGAGTGGTAGAGAGATACGTCTATCCGTGTGTTTAGGTTGATTCTGTATTTCAGGTAAGACTAATTACAAGAAACCCCCGAATCCCCCAAACTTAAGCTCTCCTCCAAAGCAGCTGATCGTTGTTGTGACCTTTGAAGGACATGTATTACGTCATCACAAAGGTTACACACCAAAGGGTCAACGTGCTCACGTTCACAGTTATTTCGAAACCATGAAGTAGCAGAAGACATTACATCATTGATTAAGTTGAGTAGAAGGTTCCCGGCACTTGTATAATACAGGTCACACAAGGATTGGCTTCTACAAATTTCGCAGTATTTCTTTTTAAACTTTCATTCAAGTCTTTGGGTTAAGAAGTCTAAAAACAGGTAACTTTTATGTTATGTAAACCTGTAATTTGATGTGCACGGTCAGGTACTACAGGTAGAGGATCCCTAGAGGCAGCCTAAACAAATGTAGTGATATGATATTATATGTTATTATATTAGATCTATATAATTTATTAAGTTTACGTTCACAATTTAACTCATTTGTTGAGGATTTTCATCACATTCATAGGTTAGGCATAAGTGTCTGAATTTAGATGATGAAACCACTTTATAAATCATTAATTTATTTAATTTAAGAAAATTCTGAAGACAAAGACAAAGACTGATTTTTTTTATTAATATAGCAATTAGGCTTAGAATGTTATTTTATCATGTAAATCATTTTCCGATTCATATAGACCACCAGTTGGGGGTGGGGTTTCCTGAATGGTTAGCGTGTGCACGCTGTAGGCCTATCATAAAGTCTGTCATTGAGTCAACTGGTGTGGTTTCGATTCCCCGGTTTTACTTGACAAAGAGTAGGGTCGTTTGTCCAACCTTGTGGGTTTTCTCTGGGTACTCCGGTTTCCACCCACTGCTAAAGAAAGACCCCTACACTCACACGAATTATTGAAATAAAATTGAAGTCCCATCACTTGTGAAGTTAAACCCATCTCTCTCTCTCTCTGTCTCTCTCTCTCTCTCTCATTTTGTCTGTTCAAGGTCATTATCTCTAATTGCAATATATTCTTGTATCCTTACAAGTTACATGTAAAATATTTATAATTTTTCAGGTGGTAATTTACTTATGTCGAAGTCTGACAACATGTCTTCAGGAGCTGTAGCTAAATCCCCGAGTTGGAATGATGTCCAGGAATCTTCACAATCTAAATTATGGAGAAAGACTAAAGAAGCCCCTTTTGTACCAATAGGTAATAATAGTATTATTAATTTGATTTCTTTAATGCATTGCAATTGAAGCAAATAATGTCACAAAAAGAGGACACCGACATTGTAGATAGTCGTATATTTTTTAAGAAATTAATCCATGAAAAATTTGCTTCAAATCCCTCTCAAAACATTTTATTCACGAGAAAGTACCCCGAGATGTAAAAAATATATTTTTAGAAGCTTTGACTTCAGGGGGGCCAATTTACTTACTGTCCATTTGCCATACATATTGAAGCTTAAGTAAATTCTTGGATTATCTTCTGCCACCATCTCTTTCCATCTGTTGTACGCAAATCGCCTGACGCTTCGATCAAGAATAAAGAGAGAGAGAGAGAGAAATGGGGTTTAACGTCCACTCGACACAAACTAGGTCATTTTGGGACTAACATATGGTTTAATTTTATTTCATTTATTAGCTTGCGCGTAGGGGTCTTTAGCAGTGGGAGGAAACCGAAGGACCCGGAGAAAACCCACGAGGTTGGACAGGCGACCCTATTCCTTGTCACGTACAACCGGGGAATTGAAACCACGTCAGTTGACTCAATGACAGGCCGTATGATACAGCACGCACATGCTAACCATTCGGCCATCCAACCCCCCCCCCCCACGATCAAGAATAACAACAGCTCCCTGATTCAAGCTGGCAGACAAATAAGCCATCGGTTCGCCAGTTTTTGATACCCTGAAATAACTACAATGTATGTACCCTATAAATACTTTCGTGAGAATGTGTGTATCTTAATAGGGTGTCAGAACACTATTATTATACAATCGTATGATCCATGATCATTGTAGAACTTAGAACAATGGGGTCAGACCCCTTTTCGAAATACCAGTTCTCATCAAGTGTTTTTGTCATCAGTGTAGGTTTCCATATGTTGTAATTGACTTACATGTATATGTGAATATTTGGTGTTATAGGATCCCGGCCTTGCTGTCTTTTATAGTATCAATTACTGTTACCTAATAGGCTTAGGCAAACTGAACGGCCCCCCCCCCCCCATCTATAATAATATGGCAAACTTAGGCCCAAACAATAAACAGTAAATAAAGAAAGAATGCCTTTAAATAAATGGAATACAACTATTGCTGATTTGAACCAGCTTTTCGATTCACAGAACTTGTGTTCTTGTCGGAATGTAGTAAATTCTTTCTCCTAAAATATAAAAAATAGAAGAAAGCCAAGGATGATCATGTTTTGTAAATTGGAAAGTAGACGACTCATTTTGTTAATGCATTTAAAAACAAATGCAATGGGTTAATGACAAGTCGACGTCAGGTTGCAACCTGGATCCTTTGGAATTTAATTTGTTCACTGGAAGCAAATCCGTACATACATGTACTAAACTTACACTGTTTGTCTACAATGTTTGCTTCAGAACAGACACTAAGCTGATTGGCTGACATTCTAATTCCTAAATCGTCATCATCGACTTTGAGAAGTGTTTAATCTGCTTCTGTTTAATAAATTTGAAACAGTTTATTTAGTCTTTGTGTGTATGACAGATGTGAAACGGAGTAGAACGGTAGAACCACATTACACAAAAGGCCACTAATTTTTTAATATGGCTACCATTCAGTTCAGAGATCCATTCTCAAAGTGAATAGCTCTCTGTGTATAGAATGCATTATACATTTACTTTGTTCTTTTCACAGGTATTCTGGGTTTAATAGGAGCATGTATCTACGGAGCCAAGACGTATAAAAACCGAGGAGGAATGTCCACGTCCGTTTATCTAATGCAGTATCGTGTAATCGCACAAGGCATGGTCGTCGGATCAATCACGCTAGGAATGTGTGCGTCCATCGCACAGAAAATATACAACAGGCATTATAGCGATCCAGACAGTAAAAGTTGATCATACGGACAAATATAAGGTGTTTTAGAATGAGAGTTTTTAATTACTTTATGTTAAAAGTTACAAGCAGAGATAGTTTAAGTAATTTATATGACCAGTAAATAAATTTTTAATTGTAAATAGAAGAACTTGAATTATTTAACCACATCTCTGTTTGTGATCGTGAAGCAATTTATTTTAATTTACGTGTTTCGTCATCAATGCTTTATTATTTGTTGCTGTGATATCTGAACAGTTTTATAAAAACTCATATAAGGCCATAGAAATAAAATATTCTTGTTCTCAGGCAATCCTTCCTAAAAATCAGACACAGGAGGAAGTTTTTATTTTTGTGTCAAATGATCACTACCAGTAATCTTCTTTGAAAGGCATTTAGTCACTGGATAGAGCAATACGCAAAAACACATACTTATAGAAAACAGCTACTTATTTATTTGGGCGACGTTTCGAAGAGTATTCTCTCAACGTCTTCAAGCTAATAGCTTATCATTTATCTCATGTTGTATATTGGAATGTATGATTATCCAGTATCATTTATGATTCTCAGTAACATTTATCAGGGTTTTGTACTTGATAAATGAGTCTATGCCATATTTGGATAGATTCAAACCAGAGTAAACATTAACATGCGATAATTTATATGAGACTGTTTTTATTTTTTTGTAATAAAACAGATCACGAGACCTGTTTTAACTGACACAGGATGATCTGAAAACCAGAATATTTTTTTATATGGCCTAACATACAAGTCTCGCTCCTCCATTTTTAGCTTAAATCATAATATGGCTGAACTGTTCTAATCTATTTAATATCGGAGAAATCTGATGCCATTGAGAGTTGATTATGGTGTGGATAAGTTAATTAATGTCTAATTAATAATTTAGATAACATTTCAGGCCTAAAGAAAGGACTGCAATAGGCAAATTTAGCTCTTGCATAATGTATGTTTAAAGTAATCATTTTTAAGGGTTAATTAGAAAACAGAATACAAACACTATATTTACAATAATTTAATCACCGATTACCGTCAATCAATGTTTTGTAGTCCAGACCCATGACAAGATATTATCTTGGAAAATATGTACTGATACAGCTTCGGTGTATGCAAATTAGGATACATAATGTGTGTATGTAATTGATTAAATGTATCTGTGTGTATTATTAATGGAAAATGAATACATGTAAGAGAGATTGAGTTATTAACTTCTATAAACAATTGATAAATTATACATGTAGTTAAATTAATAATTCTGAGGCCTTCTTTATGAAATTTTAACTAAGATAAAATCCAGATTTTAGTAATTTGATTGGATGATATTAGATTGATTTTAATGCTTAGCCAATCAAAATTGAAGTTTCTCCTAAAATTTGGATTTTATCTTTAGTTAAGATTTCGAGAAACAGGGCCCAGGAATATTTTTTGTTCAGAGTTTATCTTGAGTTAAAAATATAACTAATGTCATTAGTGTGCAATCTTATCACCAAAATTGATGACTTACTAATTATTTATGATTCATTCCTCCAGATTAACAAAGTTTTAAAATTGATTATTTGAAATTGTTGAGGAAGAGAGAATGTATAGATAAAGTGTTATATATGCATTTAATGTTCTTGAATTCGACTACTTGATTTTGTTGAATTTTTTAAAATTCAGGATAATTAAGTGTGGGTTATTTATATGCTGTGTTGCTGGTAAATACAGAATTTTTAATGAGAAAGAAAATTATAGAAATGTCAATCAATAGTTGGACTTCTATTGAAATAGAATGATAACCATGTTAAAGTCGACAGTTTGTCTCGGCTTAATCTAAATCAATATGTACCTAAATTGATCATTAACCATTTAATTTAGAAAACAAAACAAAAATATCAACAAGAGGTCCCATCCAAAAAGTTCATCTGACAATTATTGGTGACATTCGCTTGTTGATTGGATTCAGTCTCAGAACGGGCCCATCAATTTAGTTTGTGGCAAATAAAGACGGGAGTAGCATAGATTGATGGAATTTTTAATTCAGCATATTTTTGTAAATACTGAAAGGAATTGAATCATATTTGGGCTGATATTCAACTTATAATGAACGTCTTTAAATAAAAATGAAATGAAATGGGGTTTAACGTCCTACTGTTCTGCTTCGAACTGGGCTAATGAAGACGGGCATACGCCATACAGTGTGTTATGAGGGAAATTTTGCCCGGACAGCAGCACTACGACCTACTCTTATATCGAATTCCAACTGTCAAGGGATCTTTTACCTGCTCAGAACCTTGATTTTTCATCCCATCCGAACGACTAGACAGCTGTACTTGTCAGGCCCTCCGTCCTGCATCACTGACCAGGGGGAACCACGCCGGAACATATGGATGAACTTTCTCAGCCAATGCAGGGATCGAACACCCGACCTCCAGGCTAGCGAGCCAGCATCTTACCCACTTAGCCACCTTGACGGCCCCGTCTTTAAATATAACAGTATAAATATAATACTGTAACAGGATTATTTATTTAGCATGTTTCTATATTTTAAAAGTTTATATGAAAGCGTTATCAGTACTATCGTAAATAATTGTATTTGTTAGTTAATGATGGCCTCATATTTTATTTAAATAAATGTGAAAGGGTATTTCGTGAACAATGGCAAAAAGTTATTAAAATGTTTCTAGACTTGGAAATGACAATGAATTTTCTTTTTTTTGGTTTTTGTTCCAAATTATGACTGGTCAATAGTCCGTTTAACAACCAATGCCTAACTGCGTAACAATATCAATCGGGTTTAAACAAAGCTCCACATTGTTTACATTACGTTACATAACTCACAAAATTTTTACCCACAACCAGTGCATAGCAGAATATTACAGAAAAACTAATTGTGTGACAAATTGTGTCCAAAGTGTTAGGGAAGACCCCAGTTTAAACGAAGGACTGTCATGTTGCTGTACTTGGGGCAAATTTGGTTGAACAGGAAGAATAGACACACTCCCTCAAAAGCTCAGGTATCGGAAGTCAATACAGCAATGGCCAGAGAAGGATTTCTCGGGCCACTGCTTCAGGAATATGCATTTTACCACTGAATAAAATATTTCTCCACTTCATGTATGTGAGGATTTGATCTATTAAATTGTTCATTCTATATTTCACATTTGATCTTGGTTGGATTTTAAGAGTCCAAGTTGAAATATAGATACCGGTACTTCATACTTCAAACATGTATATCTTGAAATTTCCAAACAAGCTTTGGAGCAAGACGTTGCCAGATGCATTGATCTGTGGTGGAAAGCCCAACTGGCCGAAGAGAAACCTCTTTAAGTAAGTGGGTGAATATCTGGTGGTCTGCTCCCTGAAGATATAAATTGGACTTATCTCCCTTTACTAAAAAACCCAACAAAACACTAGAGCTGTGCAATCTGTTTTACAGAGGTATTACGAAAGTCTTCTAATAACTCTGTAAAAGATGACTGGTTTCAAAATGTGACGTCATATCACGCGGCGTTAATCATTGGCGCAATGGCGTATGCATTGTTTACATAAGACGTTACTGGTCCGGGCAGAATGCTGCCTTTAACTCAATTTACATACCCATTTACACTAAATAGGAAATATTTTTTTACCAACATATACGGCCAACTCCTTTATTTATCTTTCAAATCCTTAAAAAAATAATGTTCTAGAATTTAATTTGCAGACAGAAAACATTTAATATTGGGGACTCATTAAGCCGCACCGATGTCATCACTATTAGTGATTGTATCGGACTAGAAAATCTTCACTGCTGAGCAGTGTAATATAATATTATGTATAGATAAAATGAGAGAGAAAAATGGGGTTTACCGTCCACTTGACACAAACTATGCGACAGGCGACCCCACTCCTTGTCACGTACAAGAGGGGAATTGAAACCACGCCAGTTGACTCAATGACAGACACTTTTGATATAGCGCACAGTTCTAACCATTCGGCTATATAACAGTAATACAAAAGAAACTACAACAGCGATGACACATAAGTTATAACTGAAACGTTACATGACCGCTCTCAATACTCTGAATGATGTCAATCCCCTAGCCAGCTAACCCGCCCAACTTCAAGACCTCGCCATCACCAGGGGTAATTACGCCAAAAAATCCGATGAATTTTCTAGATCAACACGGAATCTCCAGGTTAAGGAGCCTACGTCCTACTCAGTGAGCCACCGTAGCTCCCAGATTCAGTATATTTTATACTCGATTGACCGCGATAAATCAACGATAATACAGATAAGAATTCTTTTATGACACCGATAAGGTTTACTTTTATTATGTAACCCGCAGCTTTCTCGCAGCTCGGCAGCTCGGAGGTCCTGACAGGGACAGCTGTCTAGTCCTTCGGATGAGACGAAAAACCGAGGTCCCGTGTATACATTGGAATGCACGTAAAAGATCCCTTGGCAGTTGGAATTCGATATAAGAGTAGGCGATAGTGCCGCTGCCCGGGCAAAATTTCCCTCATAGCACACTGTATGGCGTATGCCCGTCTTCATTAGCCCAGTTTAGGAGCAGAACAGTAGGACGTTAAACCCCATTTCATTTCATTTCATTTCACATTATCTAGTTTTTAACTATTATAGTGAGAACCGTCAGCTGTTTATCTAGTCTCCCATAATGTATCTTTAAGTTTCCCTTGAAAGAAAAGCTTATCATTGTTTGCTATCTCGGTTATCTAAACACCTTTACCGGGCCACTGTGTACTAATGAAACACCTAATGGCCCTATCTTGTGGTTATCTGAAATTCCCCGGTTGCCTGGCTGCCTACAATCGTATAATAATCCTATTTGCAATACAGGACACCATCAACAGATAATTCAACACTCTTGTCACTTTGGTGTCGGGTACCAGAAAATGGTATTAATATCATCTTCACACAACCAGGAGTTGAGTAACAGAGAATGGTAATTATGTCATCTTCATACAACCAGGTGTCGAGTACCAGCTAGAGAATGGTAATCATATCATCTTCACACACCTAGGTGTCGAGTACTAGCTAGAGAATGGTAATCATATCATCATCACATAGCCAGGCGACGAGTATCAGAGAATGGTACTCCATCCTGCATCACTGACATGGGGAGCCGGGATCTAACCCACCGAGAGAGAGGGGGAGAGAGAGAGAGGGGGAGAGAGCGAGATCTAACCCACCGAGAGAGAGAGGGGGAGAGAGAGAGAGGGGGAGATAGATAGAGAGAGATAGAGAGAGGGAGAGAGAGAGAGGGGGAGAGAGAGAGATCTAACCCACCGAGAGAGAGAGGGGGAGAGAGAGAGAGGGGGAGATAGATAGAGGGAGGGAGAGAGATAGAGAGAGGGAGAGAGAGAGATCTAACCCACCGAGAGAGAGAGAGAGTGGGGGAGAGAGATAGAGAGAGAGGGGGAGAGAGAGATCTAACCCACCGAGAGAGGGGGAGAGAGAGAGAGAGAGAGCAATGGGGGATACCGGAGGACCCTTTCACGCTTAGGATCGAAACCTACCACTTGACCCAATAACAGACCTTATGACCCAAAGCTCACACGATAGACTACACGCCCCCAACTCCCTAAATTCAGTGATAAGCAAGATATTATTTGTCAAATTTTGTTGCATTTCAATATTTAGAATATTTCATCAACCATTTAATGCTATGATTTTACATTTTCTTAATGTTCCCCGACTGTAGATAAACGTACTGGGTTACCGCCCTTCTGCCTATCTGTCCACCGGTCAACCGGTCCATAGCCCTTTTGGTATGTTGATAAACATGATAAACACGTTCCCTAGCGATACATTTGAATCCTGCTTTCTGGGCTACAAAATATCATTTTCTGATAGTCGTCACGAGAGGATAACATAAATGCCATTCTCTGTTACTCGTCCCCTGGTCATGTGATGATGCCATGGATACCATTCTCTGTTACTCGTCCCCTGCTCATGTGAAGATGCCATAGATACCATTCTCTGTTAATCGTTTCCTGGCTATGTGAAGATGATATAAATACCATTTTCACTGATAGTCATCTCCTGGCTATGTGATGATGCCATGGATACCATTCTCTGGCGCTCGACCCCCTGGTTATGTTCAGATGACATGAATACCATTTTCTGGTACTCATCGCCTGGTTATGTGAAGATGTCATGGATACCAATCTTTGGTACTCGCCCCTGGCTATGGGATGATGATATGAATACCATTTTCTGGTCATCGCGCCGCCTGGTTACGTGGAGATGACACGAATACAGATGTTTCACAGAGTATTACGAAATTCTTCTAATATCTCTGTAAAATATGACTGCCTTCAACACTTGACGTCACATCACGCGGCATCAATCATTGACGCAATGTCGCTTGTATTATTTACATAAGACGTTACTGATTCGAGTAGAATGGCGCCTTTTACTCATTTTAATACCCATTTACACTAAAACAGGAAATAATTTCAACCTACATATACTTCAAACGTCTTTATTTATTTTTCTAACACATAAAAAAAAATGTTTTAGAATTTAATTTGTCGGAGGAAAAACGTTAATATTTGTGGCTCATTAAGTCGCATCGATGTCATCCTTATCAGTGATTGTAGAGGCCTAGCGAATATTCACTGCTGCTCAGTGTGGCCACCAAAGTGACACTTATCTGTTGATGATGTCCGGTATTGCAAATAAGATTAATATACGATTGTAGGCAGCCAGGTAACCTAGCTACGAGAACGTAACTAAAAACGCTGAGATATACTGATGTGCTTGTTTTTAGCTACGATTGGATGCCTTTAGTTCCTAGTGGCAAACTCATATGTACCATCTTGAAAATAAGTTAATTTTATACTGTTAGTACTTATTACACATACGCAATCCAACCTACTGAAACAACATTCATTTATCAGCAAATATTGACAATAAAGTAAATCAAGCGTTGTTTTTATCAAAATTGATTCGGACGTTCATAATTACGCTGTATTACTTCTGCGCAACTCTAATCAGATGGGTACTTTGATTGGCTATTGCACACGAGGCCCCGCCTTTATGTGTTACAGACGTAAATTTAAAATGTCGGAAAAAGCAATCTACTGTCGCTTTGATTTAAAAAGAGGGGATTTGTACCCGTTTCAAGTAGGATTATATGCTTAATTGTAGTTGGGTGTGGCAGAAATATTATAAATAACAATAACCAATCGTTGTTTTGATTAAAAATATTGTCAATTTTGTTTACAAATGCTGGGTGCGAATCGCTCCCGCACGTGCTACATTGAAGGTAATGGCATCATCTCTTATCTCGAAACATGGAGGGTTGAGAGATAGAAGTCTCGATTGTCCAACCTTGGATTAAATCATCAATGAGCGTTGATCAGTAAATCGGATTCCAATTCAGTAAATATCGCAGGCTAGTTGATTATGGTCTGGATAAGTTAATTAATGTCTAATTAATAATTTAGATAAAAGACCTGCAATTGGCAGATTTAGCTCTTGCATAATATGTGTTGACCTGTCCTTGACCTTTCTTTTAACATGTAGATCATTTTTAATTCAGAAAGCGACAACCTTCCCATTTCCTTGACACCTGTGCGATTTCATCTGTTAAAATGCAATTTAATATCTTTATGTCTTCTTTTCAACAGGCAACATGTCATGAGACATGAAATGAAATGAAATGGGGTTTAATGTCCTACTTGTCTGCTC